AAAGTTATGTAGAGATTTCTTTGAAGAACAACCCCAGGTGGGCGTGCTGATGCACACCTGTGATCCCAGGCAAGGTGAACATCAGCCTAGGCTACAGAGCTAGAACCTGCCTCAAAAGACAAACAAACAAAAATGAACAACAACAACAATAACAAAAAGATCCCAAATTCTGGTGTGTTAATGCCTAGGAGAGTGCCTACAGATAACAATCATGAACTCTATATATTTCAGAAAGCTAACAGAAAGTATATAGAAAAGTTTCACCACAAAGAAACCACAAAATTTGAGGAGCTAGATATAAGCACTACACAATATACTGTATTTAAACATTACAAAATATACTGTATTAAAATTTCACAAAGGTGGGGGGGCTGGGGATTTAGCCCAGTGGTCCTGCCACCTGCCTCACACATACAGGGTCCCGAGTTTGATCCCTGGTACCAAAAAAGTAAAGTAAAATAAAATAAAATTTCACAAGGTAATCTCTTCAATACATACAATTTTTATGTTTTTAATATATTTAATTTACATGAATAAAAAGAACCACCTCAATAATTTGGGCATAAGGACGTAAAATCAGGAGGAGGTACAGAGAGCTCAGAAGTATTTGATCATTTTTTCTGCAAAAATAATACAAACATCAAAACATATGCATTCCTGTGTATAAATGAGTATCTGGTACAAACAGTGCTGTCCTTTGGCAGAGGTGGTGGCAAGTGGAAGGAGTTGGTGGTGATTTCAGAAATTGCTTTATTTGTCTGATGGTGTTGTAGGGGCTCTCAGACCATCAAACTCAGAATCTGTGGTCTTCCATGTTTAAAATAACTTCCTTCCAGGTTCTTGGAAAAGTCCTATTTGAACTTCAGGCATCTGATATTATTCTGAGGATGTGTTATGGGACACATAGTAAAAGGGCCCTAGGTAATGTGATTTTGGTGTGGCTGTAGTCAAGTGTGGTTCGTGTTCTTCTGGAGTTTGTACTTTAGTGGTACATTTTGCTGTACAGACACACAGGTACACAGAACAAAAACAGGTTGACATCCCTGAAAGTGCACGGGAACACATTTGTAGGCTGCGGTTCTGTTGAAAGCACACAAAATGATAGAGTTGGCTTAGAGTTCAAGGCAGTCTATTGTGTCTCCCTGAACTCTGATCAAGTGATTTATAATCATTTATTTTTTCACATATTATAGCTTTTGAGGGTTATTATGTTCTAAGTGATGTGCTAGGCCTTGGAAATACAAAGATAAAAGAGAGATGGCAGCCACAAAGACAGAGTTTTTCCATTCTTCTGCACTTTTCATCTATGTTCATCATCACAAACAGATATGTAAAGAAACAAGCAAACAAAACACCATCATCTTCATTTCTGTTGACAGCTGTTAGCATTTGGATGTACGTTGTATTTTTACAAAAATAAGATCATATTTTTCATACTAAATTTTTTAAATTTAAAAATCATGAACTCCCCTTGCCAATCAATGTAGATTACATCATCATTTACATAGATACATGATAATTTATGGAGTTAATTTGCTATGATGAGATAGTAAGATAGGCTGTAACTCCTCACAATAATGTATAGAGATTGAGGGAGCAGTCTACCGTACACCTTTCTGCACTAGTGCAAATACTTTGTTAACACATTTCTAATAGCAGAATTGTTTGGCCAAAGGCAAAAACATTTTTCAAGCTTTTGATTTTCGAGTTAACTCCCAGAAAAGATACTTAAACTCCCATCAGGCACCCTAAGAATACTCATTTCCCAATATTCATACTCCTCTAAGAGTTTTATCATTCTTTCAAATCTTTGATCACCAATCTTGATTCTTTCCCTTAAATATTTCTAACCTCTTCCTGTTGTGCTTCTCTCCTAGGTCACTGAGTGACCTCGGCAGTCATGCTTCAGTAATGCAAATGGTCATACTCTTCTTTTTTCTTTGCCTTACATACCACTAAAGATGGTGATTTTTTTTTTTTCACTTTCTTCCTATCTTGTCCTTCTAAGAGGTGGTTGAAGACAGAAGTAGTACATTGTTCTAACAACTTGCTGATTCAGTTGTAGTTGAATTACCAGATCTTGAACTGTACTTTGCACTTTGCTTAGCACTATAACCCAATCTACTTCTAGAGTAGGTAAACCCTGGCCCTTTAAAATAAAATGACAGATGGAAAATCACAATCCCATTCTGTCACCCAATCAGATTCCAGATAGCATATCTCACTGAATGTGTTTTACAGAATATGGATTTCTTTCATACACTTATGTGTTCATCTTCTTCTGGGCTTGACTTTTTGGGGCTAATATGCTATTTAAGTGTTCCTGTACTTAGAAACTTGAGAAAGTTTCCTGACTTTCCCTATATTCTCATCATACCAAGAAGAAAACTGCTTGTTCTCCCATGCTAGAAGCCAAAAACTGAAACAGCTAGATGGGAACTAGATTAAGAAACGAAGAACTGCAAAGCAATCAACCCCATCCTCTTTCTGACATCTTTTGATAAATTAGAAGGCTTGTAAATCCTGGGCTGATTAATTTCATATTGAATTCATTCATTCATCAGTTCACTTTTTCCAACTATTGGGGATTGTCATATTCTCAATACTGGATTAGGCCCTGGAAGGATAAAGACAAGGGACTAATGGGCCTTGCCTGCAAGAAGCAAGGAGGTTAACCTAAAATGATGAACAGGGGAGGGAGGGCCTCCCCTTTCCTTGCCTCCTGGCCCTTGGTGCAGGTTGATACATTTTCAGAGGGGACATCTAATGTAGTCGTATTACCCAAAGCAGTTTTTAGAAATTGTTTTTTGAATTCTACTGAAAGACTAGAGGACACTGATTTTAAAAAAGAAAGGCAATGGTGTGAAAACTTTTTTCCTTTGAGGGAGAATCTGCTTTTTAAAAATTACCTGAAAGGTTTTCAACGTGTAGAAAATGTACATGATTACGTGCCAAATATCTCAGAGCCCACTGACCAGAATTAAGTGGTAGTGTCCTGTCATTTTTGCCTTAATTTTTTTTTTGTTTATTGTCTTTCGTGAATTTATTTTTCTTTTTTTTTCAGCTTTAATTGAGTTTATTGGTACATTTTAGGGATACAGTACAGTTACATTCATGTGAATTTATTTCTTACTTCTCAAAACAGAGTGGTTAGTGGGTAGGGAAGTGGAAAGGTGGCCCTGAAGCTTAGAAATGTTTTATAAAGTATTTTTAAAAATAATTCAGAGCAGGGCGGGGGATTTAGCTCAGTGGTGCCATGACCTGCCTCACAAGCACAAGGTCCTGAGTTCGATCCCCAGTACCAAAAATAATAACCATAACAACAATAATAATAATTTAGAGCATATTACAGATAAGAGCATAATAAATTAGATATGTTTATGTTTCCTGGAAAAATATAAATTTCTACTGGAAGAAAACATTTGGTAGCTTATAAATGTACTCAGAAGTTGGGCCAATTTTGAGCTTTTTGTTTTGTTTTGTTGTCTTTACAGATCACCATGGTAAAACTTGCTGCAGCATTGAAGTCCGTTGTGTCACCAGAGTCAGACAGCAGGCGGAAGGTGGAGAAGTCCCAGAAGGAACTTGAGTTGTGCATGAGGACAGCTGAACAGTTACTTGCACAAAAACAGAGCCCCGGTGGACTCATCTCCAAATACAAGGTAGGAATCCTTTAACTCTCTGTGTGGAGGGTATTTATCATTACTCAAAGTGTTTCTGTCGTTGCAATTATATACAAAGTTACCGTAACTGGAAGAAAACTCTCCCCATTTTTTACATTGTTCCCCTGAGGCTAATGCAAGTCAACATTTGAGCAAAGCTGAATAATACACTCATATAAGAAGAATTTCTCTGTGGCCTTAGGCAGGCAAGGAATGGACGGATGCTGCGTCAACGCCCACCAGGTGGGACGCTCAGGCTCTAGGGAGGATTTGAGTGCCTGAGCCACAGGTTGTTCACCTTGGCAGCATGGAGGACGATGCGCCGGTGATCTACAGTCTGGAGTTCCAGGCAACGGGCTCTCACACCTCAGACTGCAGAAACGTAGGCCATCCGGTTTTTGGTTGGGACACAGTCTCTTAAATGTGATAATCAGATCCACATCCTAGATTTTGAGGATGAAAACAACATTATAAATAAGAACATCCTCTTCCGCCAAGCAGGTAAAATCTGGCGCATTAGCGCCAGCCCGTCAGACAAAGGAGGGGTCTTGGCAACCTGTTACAATAAAAGTGCTATGAGGTGAGGGGTCTCCTCCTCCTCTATAAAGTCCCAGTGATCCTGACAGCAGGAAGAGGAAGAGTAGCACCAGGCTCCAAGCAATCTCAGAGAATCACGTGGGTCACTATGCTGAAGTTCTGCTGACTGTGCCAGCCACACGGCAGCGCTGTCCCCTGGGGCCATCCCCGAATCAGTCCTCAGCCAGCTGCTCTGGGGCACAGGCTGGCTCACTTGATCCCTTGACTGTGTCCGTGTTCTGCTCCTGAATCCCTTTCCTGCTCTCACCTGCAGAAGCCCTCAGCATTGGCCTCACACCTCTGGTGTCTGCAGTGCCCGTACCTCTGTCCTTGGCCCTGAGTGTCCCCAACATCTGTGCCATGAACAAATCTGCTGTTCAGTGCTGATGGCGCACGGGGCAAAGACAGGCTGAGTTTGAGACACCCTGGAAGCAGAATGCCTTGGGCTGGGACCGACTGCGTCCTGGATGACCGAGGAGGAGGCAGGGAGGCCACAGAGACGTTAGGTATGGGGCTCTGGGCCTAGGCGAGGTCCACTTGGGCTGAGGCATGGCCCTGGTCCTCAGGACTCAGCTGTGCTGACTTCTGGGCCAGGATGCTCCGTGGCTGGCACTGGGATGATGTAGAGATGCCGCCACACACCTCTCTGGTGACTGGGCTGGGGCGGAGGATCATCGTGGCCTATGCATACTCCTGGGCTGCTCACAGCTCGGCCAAGTCTAGGCTTCTACATGGTGGCTGGGGGAACAGCAGTGCCCCAGTCCTCAGAACAGGCAGGGCTGCCTCTCTTCACCTGGGCTCACCGTCCTTCCAGCAACTCCTCTGTGGCTCCTTGGTGGAAACTTGTCACACAGGGACATGCAAGGAGGTGAGCAGAGAGAAGCTCCGTACCACGGAGGACGGTGGGATAAATCACGGCTCTGCTCAACTAACCCCACACTCACACAGCCCCCACATGTACCTGCACCCAGTCAGGAGGCTGTGGTCAGAAGGCTCCAAGGTGCTGGGCACTCCCTGGTCTTAGGGGAGCCTCCCTCCGGCAGTGACACACCAGTCAGGAAGACATCGCCCTCCTGCTGCTCCTCATCTTCCTGCCACTGAATCCTTGCTCTTGACTCAAGCACAGCCTTCTGTGCTGTGTACCCTCCTCCCTCCCCAGGAAACACAGATGTCCTTTACACCCTTTCCCTCTAGCTCCCTAGATGGGGCTGCAGGGTGACTCACCGTGGCTTCCTCCCATGTGGATGGTCTGCCATGGGTAGGACGTCCACGTCCACGGAGCTGCTCTCATTGCTTTCTACTAAAACGACAAGGGTACATATGAAATGGACACGCATGTGAAAATATGCCAGGCGTTATTGGCTGTGGTCACCACCACCCTACGCTACAGTAGACCCAATAGCGAGTCCTCATATCCATCTGAGACTCGTCCCTCTGGCCACAACTCCTCCATCCCTCTCCCCTCTCCGCCTCACTTGAGTTCTACCCTGACCGTGAAAGGTGACATCATCAGGATACAGCTCACTCAGAAAGCACCCGGACCAACCAGCCTCCTTGAGTGGTGAGGGTTGTCTGGGATTCTGCTGGGTGCTACTTACGCTGGGGCCACCTTGTGTCGGGGGTGCTCACAGGGTGGCAGGCAGCAGCACCACAGGGCCTGTAGGCAGCCTGTGAAGTTCGTCTTTAGAACCATCCAATATCCACGTGCACTGTTGGCAGGAGCAGAGGTTGTTCGAGAGCGAGAGCAGGTTGTTCCAAGGCCTGGCTGGCGGGACAGGCTGGGCGCAGCAAGGCCAGACTAGGGGGACAGCCGGGCAGCGGCAGGGCCAAGCTGCGGGGATAGCTGGGCAGCCGAAGGTCCAGGCTGGCGGGAAAGCCGGTCAACGACAGGGCCAAGCTGGGGGGAAGCTGGGCAGCGGCAGGGCCAGGCTGCAGGGACAGCCGGGAAGTGGCAGGGCCAGGCTGTGGGGACAGCCGGGCAGTGGCAGGGGCACGCTCTGGGGACAGGCGGGGAGTGACAGGGCCAAGCTGGGGGGACAGCCGGGCAGCGGCATTGCCACGATGGGGCAACAGCCGGGCTGGGAAAAGGGCAGGCTGGAGGGACAGCCATAGAGCAGGAGGGCCAGGTGGGGGGGGATAGGGGGGAGCGGGATGGCCAGGCTGAGAGGTCCGGCAGGGCGCTGCAGGGCTAGGCTGGCAGCATCAGGACCAGGCTGGCAGTGCACGCTGGTCCGGTCAGGGATAGTCTCGGAGGGCAGGCTGGGCGCACCATGGCCAGGCTGGGAGGCCAGGCTGGGAGCCTCAAGAACAGGCTGGCAGTACACGCTGGTTGCAGCAGGGCCAGTCTTGGGGGCCAGGCTGGGCGCGGCAGGGCCCTTCTCGGAGGCCAGGCTGGGGGTGGCCGGTCCAGGCTGTGTGCAGTAGTGCTGGGAGCATCAGGGCCAGGGTGGTAGGCCAGGCTAGTATCGGCTGGGCCAAGCTGGCAGTACATGCTGGGCACAGCAGGCCCAGTCTCGGAGGCTAGGCTGGGTGCGGCAGAGCCAGGCCGGGAGGCCAGCCTGGGAGCACCTGGGCCAGGCTGGCAGTACATGCTGGTTGCGTCAGGGACAGTCTCGGAGGCCAGGTTGGGCACGGCAGGGCCAGGCTGGGGTGACAGCCATGGAGCAGGAGGGCCAGGTGGAGGGGATAGGGTGGGAGCATCAGGGCCAGGGTGGTAGGCCAGGCTAGTATCGGCTGGGCCAAGCTGGCAGTACATGCTGGTTGCGTCAGGGACAGTCTCGGAGGCCAGGTTGGGCACGGCAGGGCCAGGCTGGGGTGACAGCCATGGAGCAGGAGGGCCAGGTGGAGGGGATAGGGTGGGAGCATCAGGGCCAGGGTGGTAGGCCAGGCTAGTATCGGCTGGGCCAAGCTGGCAGTACATGCTGGTTGCGTCAGGGACAGTCTCGGAGGCCAGGTTGGGCACGGCAGGGCCAGGCTGGGGTGACAGCCATGGAGCAGGAGGGCCAGGTGGAGGGGATAGGGTGGGAGCATCAGGGCCAGGGTGGTAGGCCAGGCTAGTATCGGCTGGGCCAAGCTGGCAGTACATGCTGGTTGCGTCAGGGACAGTCTCGGAGGCCAGGTTGGGCACGGCAGGGCCAGGCTGGGGTGACAGCCATGGAGCAGGAGGGCCAGGTGGAGGGGATAGGGTGGGAGCATCAGGGCCAGGGTGGTAGGCCAGGCTAGTATCGGCTGGGCCAAGCTGGCAGTACATGCTGGTTGCGTCAGGGACAGTCTCGGAGGCCAGGTTGGGCACGGCAGGGCCAGGCTGGGGTGACAGCCATGGAGCAGGAGGGCCAGGTGGAGGGGATAGGGTGGGAGCATCAGGGCCAGGGTGGTAGGCCAGGCTAGTATCGGCTGGGCCAAGCTGGCAGTACATGCTGGTTGCGTCAGGGACAGTCTCGGAGGCCAGGTTGGGCACGGCAGGGCCAGGCTGGGGTGACAGCCATGGAGCAGGAGGGCCAGGTGGAGGGGATAGGGTGGGAGCATCAGGGCCAGGGTGGTAGGCCAGGCTAGTATCGGCTGGGCCAAGCTGGCAGTACATGCTGGTTGCGTCAGGGACAGTCTCGGAGGCCAGGTTGGGCACGGCAGGGCCAGGCTGGGGTGACAGCCATGGAGCAGGAGGGCCAGGTGGAGGGGATAGGGTGGGAGCATCAGGGCCAGGGTGGTAGGCCAGGCTAGTATCGGCTGGGCCAAGCTGGCAGTACATGCTGGTTGCGTCAGGGACAGTCTCGGAGGCCAGGTTGGGCACGGCAGGGCCAGGCTGGGGTGACAGCCATGGAGCAGGAGGGCCAGGTGGAGGGGATAGGGTGGGAGCATCAGGGCCAGGGTGGTAGGCCAGGCTAGTATCGGCTGGGCCAAGCTGGCAGTACATGCTGGTTGCGTCAGGGACAGTCTCGGAGGCCAGGTTGGGCACGGCAGGGCCAGGCTGGGGTGACAGCCATGGAGCAGGAGGGCCAGGTGGAGGGGATAGGGTGGGAGCATCAGGGCCAGGGTGGTAGGCCAGGCTAGTATCGGCTGGGCCAAGCTGGCAGTACATGCTGGGCACAGCAGGCCCAGTCTCGGAGGCTAGGCTGGGTGCGGCAGAGCCAGGCCGGGAGGCCAGCCTGGGAGCACCTGGGCCAGGCTGGTAGTACACGCTGTTCGCGGCAGGGACAGTGTCGGAGGCAAGGCTGGGTGCGGCAGGATCCTTCTCAGAGGCCAGGCTGGGCGCAGCAGGGCCAGTCTGGGAGGTCAGGCTGGGAGCATCACGGCCACGGGGGTAGGCCAGGCTGGCAGTACATGCTGGTTGCG